CTTAAAATGCAGACTAAAAATAATGTCTAACTGTTGTTGATTCTGAAGTGAAATACATTTTTCTTGGCTGATCTTAGAGCTACTTGGTGGTGATCAGTGCTACTTTAGGCAGGTGAGGCCTATCTCAGCAAAGCATCTGGTGAATCCGAAATGTAAAGCTCCTACTGATCGTCTATGTTCAATGTCCTGCCTTTAAGAGGCTTCATTTCTTACCCAGTGGCTTTGTGTACAGCAGCCAAATCTCATTTGCTCTCTGGCTTTGCTGTCTGTCTCAGCTGTTGAAAAACCTTCTACCTCTTGTTCTACCTCACAAGCCTAAGATGCTTGAGCTAGTTATTTCATGGTTTCCAGCACACTTAACAACCACTGATATAGTACTCTTACTATTATTCTTACTCAACCCAACAAAGAGGTTGTCCTTTCTATTGACTGAGCTTCAGGATCTGTTCTTGTCAAAGAATATGAAGTCCCTGGCTCTCTTGAAATAGTTAAGACCTGTCTTGTTTACTAACACTGTTTTCCAATTTTCATTGACATGTTTTCCTCTTTCTCTTACTTGAAATTTCCATACAAGTAGATAAATGGCCCATCTTAATGCTCACTACCTGCTTGGCTTTTTAGGCTTTTTAAAAAAAACACACATTTTGACATATACTTTATTAATTTAAAATAATTTTCATCTTATTTTTGCAAAGATGTAACAGAAGGAAATATATTCAAAGAGGTCAGTTATTCATTATTTGATCTTGAGGCTGACTTTCAATGTCACACTTAATGTGTTGTCTTTTCTTTTTCTCGTTCTTACAAAAGGAGTTATCTGGATCAATTAGCAGAAGAAATAAATGATAAACTACAGGAAACTGGCCAGGTGACAATATCAGAACTCTGCAAGACGTATGACCTTCCAGGAGACTTTCTGATACAGGTGATGAAAGCCAGCAACCTGGCAAATGCAGAATTAGTTGTGACCATCTTCTTTGTTTATCTTTGCAATATCCATGGCTTTAAGTCACTATTTTGTACGAACTTAATGTTAAGATTAAATCTTAATTTTCATGGTGCATCTGTAAATCATGCTTCTGTTTTCTGCAATGTTTTCTGTCGTTAGATACCTATATATCTGATGGAAGAAGGCATGCTTAGAAAAGCTCAATTCTTCTATTTACAGGCATTATCCAAGCGTTTGGGCAGAATTATTCATGGACAACTAGACCAGGAAAACCGTGGGGTGATTTTTACAGAAGCCTTTGTGTCCCGCCATCGAGCACGCATTCGTGGGCTCTTCACTGCAATTACACGGTAAATTGCAATGCCTGCAACCACATATTAAAATATTTTTGCCATAGGTCTTTATGGGCCAGACTCACTTGTGATTGAAAAGGAAGAGGAAAAAAAAAGACCTATGGATAGATTCCCCTCATTGTAGTTCAGTTCCTGGGACCAGTTCTCAGTTTTCTTAGACTTACTTGTTAGAAATGGGGACTCTCTTTTGAAAAACAAGGGAAGTATAACAATATACAATATACTGTAGTGTTTTGGCTGAAGGAAATGGTAATCTATATAGTTCTTTTGTTACTTTGTAGAATATCTGTCCTCTGCTCCACTGCTTCTTCGTCAGTTACATATTGATGTAACTATATGTGATTATAAATAACTTTTTCTTACTAAATCAATAAATTTTTGTGTCGCTTTGTAGGCAGAGGAAAACTTAACAAAGCAGAAGCTTGCTTACAATAATTATCATAGCTTTTGTGTTATCATTTCACAGTAATTCAGAATTAAGATCTTGTAAGCTATTTTAAACATCCTGAGGCTAGGATACTATGTGGTTCTGTTCATCTATAGTAACCTCTTTTATTTCTGGATTCGCGGCGTCAGTTTCATATCATTAATTTATATTGTTTTGTTTTTCTTTTTTTCCAAGGCCTACACCTGTAAGTAGCTTGATCACTCGGTATGGATTTCAAGAACATTTACTTTACTGTGAGTTTCATTCAGAATATTTTGTGTATTTGTTAGGAAGTCCATTCTTCATTATTAAAAGTATGCTTTCAAAGAAGCTTTTTATTATATAGCCTTAATTCTGAGATACAGAACAATCTGTTTCTCTTTAGTGTAGAAAGTATAAAACCCTTTGTGCTATCCATAACTGAAGGGATGTTCCCTGTATCCGAAGCAAGGAAAACATTTGTTGACGAAATGCCTCTGGGGGCACAATGATGCAAGAAGTACAGTACTTATTTATTCATCTCTTTCATTATTTCCCCTTAGCTACTAGCAGTTTTATCAGTGAAGCACACAAAAGGGGACAGATTTTATGTAGTCAAATGGCATTAATTGCTCAGGATTTTATTTATTGACTTTTTCTGTGATAATGGAGGCTAAGCTTTTGTTATACTCTTAAATGACTTATGTGCTGAGAGATAAAACATATCCTTAAACTGCTTTTATTTTCTGCAATTCCTTTTTTAAATAGAAATGCATAAAGATTCCCTATTCAGCTGCTGAAATCTTTAGGCTCTACTTGTCACTTTGTGTGCCCTCTCCTATCTCTCAAAAATGCTGCTTCAAGCATCATTAGTCTTCTATGCTGGCTGACCAAGTGCTGCTGGTCTTTTAAAATCCTTTAATGGTTTCTATCTCTTCTCATGAACCTTAATGCTTCTCTTGATTGTGTCTTCTTGCCTTCAGGGCATTGCTCACTTTAGTTCCACTGTAGTATCTCTCTGCTTATCCTGCTATTCTCTGCCACAAGCGTATTCATTAAAAATTAAAATCCCAGCACTTAAATAAAATCATATAAACACTCTACTTTCACATAATCAATTTAAAATTTCCACCTCTTTTTTTCTTTCATGTGCCATCCAGGTTTTCATAGATTAAAGGGAAAATCTGTGAAATTGTATTATAATAATGTCTCGATACCCAGCAAATTTCAGTATTTGGTTACAGTCTGTTTCAGATAAGTCTTTCAAGTACATCATCATGCTTTGATGATG